AACATCTATTGTGAACGATTCCAAGTATTTCATTATAATGTGAAAACCATAAGTATTGCGTAGCATTACGTAGCCATTCGACTACGACGTAGCAGTTATTGTTCCTAGCATCCATAGACAATTGTTTTTTATACTATTTAATTATAATCTGTATTATATTGTATTTCATAATATCAAGTAGCTTATTGACAGACCATTGGGGTATTCTTCTAGAATAACTCCGAAAAATTAGGTGTAAAAAAAAACACGGCACAAAAGCAGAAGAAATATGATTTTTATTTTATGATAATTATTTTTAGAATAAAAACAAAACATTTAGGAGGACGTCCATAACATGGGTACTATGCTTGATATTTTAAATAAGAAAATAGGTCATATTATATACAAAAGTGAACGCCATTTTATAACAAAGGAGTTTCTCAATGAGAGAATGAACAATAACTGGGTAACATGTTACTTTATCTGATAATGGGCCCGTTATATCAACACAAAAGGTTTGAAACTTGATAATTTAATGGTGTTTATGCAAAATACATTAACATGTTACTATGATATTGTATTGAAACTCGTTTCAAGTTTCTTTTTTTTTATTTCATATGGAAGATTGTAGATTTTAAATTGTTAGATTTCACTCAAAAATTAGTATTCTTTGACGGCTATTTTTTTTATTTTTATTTTGCTTAATGGGTGGACGAGCTCACAGCCCACCTGGTGTTTAGTGGTTACTGGAGCCTTATACATTTACAACGCAAATGCGCCACCCACCTTGAGATATAAGTTCTAAGGTCTCAGTATAGTTACAACGGCTGTCCCCCACCCTTCAAACCGAAACGCATTAGTGTATCACGGCAGAAATAGCCAGGGTGGTGGTATCTACCCGTGCGGACTCACAAGACGTCCTACCACCAGTAAAAAAGTATTTTTGTTTATGCTCACACAAGATTCCGTTATCATTAATCAAATATCGAGCTGTCAAAATCTTTACAATAGTAGTAATAATGTTTAATTTTTAATGTTCTGGCGCTTTTTTAACTAAAACCATTTTTATTTTAGATCATATTTGTTTTTCAGTTATTATATTTATTCAAATGAAAAAACCAATGTCGAGCTAAGCATGTACAAAATTATACTGACCAAGTTTTCTTGCACGCGGAATAAACAATCAATGGTTTTAATCTCTAGTATATCTACACAGTTCGCTTTACCTCCCTTCTCATCTTTAAATATATGATATAAAAAAACACGCTTAAATAGCAAACCGAACCAACAATTTTTTCCATATAAATTTTTACCCTGTCGATATTGGTCAGAATATCAAAGCGAAGTTATGAAACTAATGAGAAGTTTGTAAATTTTCAAGTTATTCGAACGCCTTATAGTCGTTAAAAATGACATTCAAAGACATCCATTACATACAGTGCAAGCCAATAAGAGTATGTTTAAAAAATACTCAACGGTCGAAAATGGCTTCTAAGTCTTCTAACTTCAAATTAAAAATAGTGGAACTAATTGTCAGATACTAAAGTTAAGTATATACAGAAAAACAGACTCTTACTTCCCCTAAAGTTAGGTTAACAGAACACTAATCCACAAAATCCGATTAGGGCACCCTTTTCTAGGGCTCTTTAATTGAATAAAACAGTCCCCGCAGTGAGCATTAACTAAATTGGTTCCCTAATTGAACGCTTAAATTGTCCTATTTGTACTATAGTTTTATGTAAATAAAATTGGCAATAAATAAGGTTGATTTGGCATTTCTAACGTCCATGAGCGACGGTGACCACTTACCATCAGGTGAGCCGTATGTTCGCCTGCCTAAATCTATCTTCTATCCTATGTATAAAAATGAATTGCTGTTCGTTAGTCTCGCTAAAACTCGAGAACGGCTGGACCGATTTGCCTAATTTTGATCTTGAATGATTTATGGAAGTCCAGAGAAGGTTTAAAAGTTTTAAAGTAAATATGAAAATGCTCGGAATTAAATAAAAATAACGATTTTGTTTTTCCTTTGATATGTCCCCGTCGGACGAATTCCTTTTATTTGAGGCACTACGAAGTCTACCGGGTCAGCTAGTAGGCAATAAAAATATAGAAAAGTACAGAGACACCATATATGTATATAACACATTTATGCACAATATGTAATCTTTAAAGGCCTTACTAATCAACGTTTTGTCCGTTTTATTGACAGTGAGCTTTAAATGGAATTAAAATGAAAATATACATTCACAGCAAGTTCATTAATAAGATCATGACGATGTAATTAAAAAAAAAAAAAAGAATTTTATTTTATCAATATCTTTGATTTTTCTTTTTAATGTATTGCACTTTGACAATTGAGTTCACAGGTCCACCTAATATTGAGTGGTTATGGGGGCCCATGGACATTCGAACACGCATGCCTTTATCAACCTTAAGACCAGATGTCCAAGTCTGAATTGAATAATATAACGGCTGCCCCACCCTTCAGACCGAAACTCCGGGCTGCTTCGCGACAGAAATAGGCAGCATGGTGGTATCTAGAAGGGCGGATTTACAATGCGCCATACAACCAACATATCGCGCCAACTTTACTTTTATTCATTTATTTATTTATTCAACTTCATGCACAAAGATACAATGGCATATTTAACGCCTGAAGCATTCTTTACCAGTCAACCAAGGGTGGTGTAGAGAGTCCTGTGGTAGGTGCATTAATTTGCATTACTTTTCCATTACTTTTCTATGTTTACTTCGATTAGATTCAATATTTCAAACGCAATTAAACCTCTAACTAATTCTAGAAACTTATTTTTTCAATAGTTTTAATAAGTTTTCAAAAGTAAGTTATTTATTACTGATGGTAGGACCACTTGTGAGTCCGCACGGGTAGGTACCACCACCCCACCTATTTCTGCCGTGAAGCAATAATGCGTTTCGGTTTGAAGGGTGAGGCAGCCGTTGTAACTATACTTGAGACCTTAGAACTTATGTCTCAAGGTAGGTGGCGCATTTACGTTGTAGATGTCTATGGGCTCTAGTAACCACTTAACACCTGCATTTGCATGTAGACAATTTCAGAAAGCACCTTTACGAGCTACTATAACACTCACCGAGATCCCTATTTTAATAGATCTAATTATTAGTGTTATAGAAGTCATTTTTAATTACTTCTATAGCGCATCTAAAAAGGTTTTGCTGTCGTCTAGACGCAACAATACTGCCGGCCATCTTAAGACAATGTCCTAAGAGTATAATGACCTTATTATACTCTTGACACCACCTCATTACTTCGCGACAGAAAGAGGTCAGGTTAAGGATACAAGTCGGTTCATAAGGCCAACACTGATATCTAATCATACAGCCATATCATACATATTCAGGGTTGAAACTGATTTTTAGTGGCATTTCTCCATCGTTAGTTATATTTGGAAGCGCATGTTAGCTTAAAAATCTTCATCTTCTGCGAATGCGTGTATACTGGTGCGCCCTCACGCCTGTATTATATCCAATTTTTGTTGTAAACCTTCTGAAACAGCTGCTACATAAAATATTGCGACGCCATTTATTTATAGTCCCGTGTCAGAACGAGGAATACATCCTTAGAATGTTCGTTTTCTGTGCCTTAATTACGCCTGTTTGTGTTCTCAAATTCTTATTTACACATTTCTAAATCTCTGTTTAGAATGTGCTGAAGAAGCATATGAAGACTGTGGAATTTAGCCCCTGATGTGGGAATTTCAATTCGCCAATAACTTAGAACTATGGACCTTAGAATCTTAGACTAATTACTCATGTCTACCAAACACTTAAGACCAGGCGGGCCGTAAGCCGGTTCACCCGTTTAAGCAGTAAAAAAACTCCGATCGGGGACTAGGCTTATAATTCCGAAGCAGAACACATACAGTAATGGATACCGCTTGAAACAAAATATCATATAGCTATATCACTATAGTTCAAATAGAAACGATGTTAATATCCTAGTTGCTGATATCGAATCTTGATAATTAAATCGATTTATCAGCTCTCGATACTACTCGGTATCGGAACTCCGAGTAATTAGTTTGTTTTCGTGCCATATAATGTTATCTGTAGAGAGCTCTGCTAGTTAAATACACATTGTATATCGTTTCAATTTGCGTTATCTGTGATATAGATTTACAGCGTAATTTGAAATTTCATTGTGAAGAAAATAAGGAGGTTAAAAGCTTATTTTCTTTCTGCATCTTTCTTTCAAGTGGTCATATCCCCTATCTACCCACCCTATCTAAAGGGTCTCAATATGTAATGGCCGATCTGCATAGTTTTCAAATGAGGTTGAAACCGTTCGATATAATTGTATCCATTCCTTATTCACGGCTTTCCTGATCAAATTGAGACTTACCTGGTGTCAACTTAGTTATGATAGTCTCAAGGATTCCCCACAAATTCCTTTCGAATTAGAAAAGGTTACGAATCGCTAATTTTTATCAAACATCAGGGTAACGTGTTTATTGCTGTCAAATCCTTTAACATCTCACAGAACGTGTTACAGCCTAAATAGTGTAATCAATATTGTTAATTTTCACATGTTTGCCCCATTTTAAATTCTACCTTCCTATTTTACTACGAATAACTAACTCTTTTACGAAATAATTTTCAAATTATATGTACGTTCCGTATTCAGTCGGTCGTCTATTTGAAGACAGCTAAATAATATTTTCAAAACTTCCATGTTTATTCATTTGAAAAGAAAAAAAAAACATATTCTAAAACGTAAAACATAATATTACTTGTCAAATGCCTTTTTCTTGTTCTAGTTTATTTATTTTTAAGATTGAGCGAACAAAGACTACAGATTAACACGGTTCAATATGAACTACGTTATAAATAGTAGACGCAGAAACCACTTTTGATAGACATTTCCAGAATAATAAATTGCATTTCTATTTGCGTAAAACTGCTTAATAAACTTCAATCTCGATGAAAAATAATTACGTATGTACATAGTAATCGATATAATGAGTTGTTATTATACGTACATGTCTCAACGGGAGCGATATCAGGACCATCGTGTGGTGCCAATATCTTCATCGTGATGGCGCCCGGTAGTACGCTACTTGACACCGACACCGTGAATTATTTCTTCACAAATTCACCGAAAGAATCTCTCGAACGCCCGAAAATTGCGAGCGGATAGCGCGAGGCCAACAGGCTGCTTCGACACTGCAGTATCGATTGAATTATAAGACTACCCGCGCCTGCGTGCAAATCCTTCAAACACGCCTGCGCGCGTTCAAACCATAGCAGCCATCTTCTACCGGAAGAACGTCATCTGACAAGTGTCAGTTTAAGCCTTTATCCACTTCCTTTAATAATGACGCGGTTTTCAATTACGATTTCAAGTTCCGCTCCTAAGATTCCAATTTGCTAATGCTTTAATGGGTTATTTGGTTAATAATTTTAAAAATTGTTTTTTTATTAGTTATCGATAAAGGCAGGAATACGGAATTTCTACTTATATCTGTTTGAAACTACAATTATCTGCGACCTGCATATGACCTACTTAAAGGCTTCAGCCAGATTTCCGGGATTCCCTGCAAATGCAAACTAGGCGATGAACTGTGAATCATGCAATAGGAAAATACGCTTCGTCGAATTATTGTGTTCCTTTTACAATTATTGGTGGAGGGGTAGAGCGTCTTTTGAACCCAAACGGGTACGTACCACCACCCTGCCTATTTCTGCCGTGTAGCAGGAATGCGTTTCGGTTCGAAGGGTGGGGTAGCCATGCACTAAAATACGAACAATTAGAGCTCATGTCTCGAGGTGGGTGGCGGCATTTACGTTGTTATTGTATATAGGCTCCGGTATCTACCAGCTCTCTTCTACCCAATAAGAAATAAATAAAAACAAGTCTCGTTCTCAAGCTGTGTTCTCAGCCCTTTAGAAAAATTCTGTAAAAAAGAAAAAGTATTTTGAAGTAGTTGAACTGTTAATTAATGATTGTAAGAAAAACGGGTTTGTAAGAAAAAACAAGGATTGTAAAATTTACAAAACTATTGTTATAAATTAAATTTTATTGAAAATCGTAAATAAATTTACATAAAATATTAATAAATATTATTACATCACGTGTAAACATGTATCCGAGTTGTTGTGTAATTAATGTACATGTGTTTGTGTGTGTGTGGCAGCGGCGCTGCGTATGTGTGTGTACATGTTCTGTTTGTGTGTGTTTGTGGTCTGTATGTGGAGTGCGAGAGCTTAGTAACCAGCCAACTCGGCGAAGGTGGAATCCATCTCATCAGCCAAGCTCTTGTATCTATCCTTGTTGATGCCGAGCTCGTCTGGAAACGGACACGTAAATAATATTAAAGACATTGCATTACAGCATCGCACACTACGGTAAACATTTCACATTTCTAGATGCTTCGATTTTTTTCTACCATTTTGTTTTCTATACTGCTATACTAATAATTATAATAATAATATTATAAAGAGGAAAGATTTGCTTGTTTGTATTGAATAGGCTCCGAAGCTACTGAACCGATTTGAAAAATTATCTCTCTGTTTAGAAGCTACACTATTCCCAAGTGATATAGGCCATAATCTTTTTTGAAAAAATTAGGGATCTTTACTAAAACTACAATAATGTAACCCATGGTGTAAAAAAAATTCTAAAAATATTCTTTACATCGCGTGCCCTGCGAAAACTATTGATGTTAGAATAAAAAAATGTACTACGACTTTATAGAACACTTTATTATCAACAAAAAATGTCGCGGCAGCGTATGTCTAACTATAATAGTTATGTCGCAATAAGTGTTCTTTTATTAAAAAAAAATAAAACAACGTGAAACATCGTTGAAATTTTTGTTAAATACCCGAGCCAAGCCGGAGCGGGCTGCTAGTAAATAATAATTATAATAGTGTCGTGAATTAAGTCGAATAATTCGTAAGAAATTTAATTGAACTTCAATTAGGAGCACAAGCGGACAGCTTTATTTTGGTTTTAAAAAAGAAGAATTACGTGATTGAATAGTAAAAGTACCTTGGAAGCATAGGTCCACGGCGGTGGGCGCAAAGCGAAAGACAAGTTAATCACAACAAATAAAGCGGGGCTTAAACTACGATATCCAAAGGATTGTCACTAAACGCTGAAATTTTGACACTAAAAGACCACACAAGACCACACTGTAGTGACAATCCTCTAAATATTGATAAATAGGTTATACAGCATTAAACATATTTGTGTAGTCGAGCTGGATCCATGAAAACTGATCTTGAATTTGTCGTTTCTTCCTGCTATGAAACTAAAATCTAATGAATGTTCTGTGAGGCATAACGTGCGCGGAAATGTATGGAAAAATGGTTGATGACGCAAATCGGATGGTAGGTACATTTTAGACGTAAATCTATGAAGGTTTGTTAGTATCCTGTCAACTCTGCGAATGTGCCGTCCAAGTCATCGCATATCGCCTTGTATTTCTCCTTTTCGTTGAATAATGCGTCTGTAAAATGTCGTTATTTTGATAATAAACATTCATGCCGAACCGTCACAATTTTTACGTTCATTAATATTAATATTAATTATGTAATTTTATTAGAAAATTTTCAATTAAAAGCCACTGCCAATAACGAGAAAAGTTATAGAGTTACACCTCTCTCAATTAAGTGTATTAATATTAATTTATTTAATTAATAATTTCTTTATCTGTTAAAGTTGAAAAAAATTTAGAATATTATAATATTATATATTTTTTGGTGTTTTAGTTCAAATCAAATTTATTTGTAGTTATTGAAAAGAAAGGTTAGTTTCGGTTTTTATATACGTTAGTGTTACCTTCGAGCCTGTCGACCTCCTTCTGCAGTTTCTTGACTGTCTTCTCGGCGTACTCGGCACGGGCCTCGGCCTCCTTCAGCTTGCCGGTCAGGGTCTTCAGCTGCTTCTTGAACTCTTCGACGCGCTGGTTAGCTTTCTCTTCGGATACTTCGAGAGATTTAAGGGAGTTACCGACGACCTATGGACCAATATTGGTCTAAGTGTAATGAATAACAAAAATCTTACATGCAAGATGGTAGGACCTCTTTACTGATGGTAGGACCTCTTGTGAGTCAGCACGAGTAGGTACCACCACCCTAACTATTTCTGCCGTGAAGCAGAAATGCGTTTCGGTTTGAAGGGTGGGGCAGCCGTTGTAATTATACTGAGACCTTAAAACTTATGTCTCAAGGTGAGTGGCGCATTTACGTTGCAGATGTCTATGGGCTCCAGTAACTATTTAACACCAGGTAGGCTGTGAGCTCGTCCACCCATCTAAGCAATAAAAAAAAATACATTTATCCCGAAAATTGACATAAAAAAAATGAAGTATTTAGTTATGGATAAGACCCTATTTTGCAGACAGCGCAGTACCGGTCTTTGTGGCGAGGCTTGGGGGAGGCCTATGTCCAGCAGTGGACATCTGTGGGCTGTTAAGGTGACCCTAATTCCATTGAAATTAAAATTCAAAACCTTCTATCTTCATAAAATATATATATATATATATTGAGTTGCATAGATGTGACGTAGCTCTTATATTGTTTCAACGATGCAAATAAAAAAAAAGAAACTTCTGTTATCCCGAGCGCAGTCCACCTTCTTACCTTTAATTCTTCTTCAAGCTCTGAGATCTTAGCGTCACCAGACTTGACACGGTCTTCGGCGACTTCGAGTTCGTCTTCAACGAAGGCCAGTTTTCGCGAAACCTGGAAGCCGTATCATGCTAACTTGAACCAAAGGTTTGACCCAAATTATTACCTTTTAAAATTGAGCAAGATAAATGTAAGCATGGTAGTAGTGCTATAATGAACCTCGTCGGATTTTCCGTCAGCGTCCTCGGCGAGGAGACGGGCCTCTTTCAATTGGTTGGTGAGCTGGTCCATACGCTCCTCGTCCTGCTGTGCCCTGTTCTCCAACACTTTGCACATACTGTAATAAAAACGAAAAATACTTTCGTGGTATTGTACTGTTGCTTGTAGTTCTCTGTAAGTTTTACTATACTTATTAAATACTAGCTGAGTCCCGCGATGTTACCCGCGGTTATTGTCGTACCGCGGGGCGGAGCTTGTCTAAAAAAAGCCTAAGTTACTCCTTATATCATCAGCTACCTATCCGTGAAAATCTCGTCAAAATCGGCCTAGCCGTTCCAGAGATTAGCCGCAATAAACAGACAGACAGACAGACAGATAGACAGACAAAATATAAGTATACATGTACATACAGTATACATACTTACGCATTTAGTAAAAAGTGGTTATGTTATTATTACAAACAGACACTCCAATTTTATTTATTTTTATAGATATAGAAAAATAATAATGACTAATCGATCGAGTGTCTTAGAACATAGCTCCTGAATATAAAGATTTCAAAATTTTCACAAATAAAAATAATAATGTAAATGCCAGTACAAGTGTAACATTTACGCTATAAAATATATCTTGTTTTTTTTAAATGTACCTTGTAAGCTATTATTATCAAAATAAAGAGCACTCGATACGTGTGGAACTATAGGAAATAATTCCAGGCGTATCGAGGGCAAGCCGGGATTTATACCTAGCATATGTTCAATAATCCACCCTGCCTATTTCTGCCGTGACGCAGTAATGCGTTTCGGTATGAAGGGTAGGGCAGCCGTTGTAACTATACTTGAGACCTAAGAACTTATATCTCAAGGTGGGTGGCGTGTTTACGTTGTAGATGTCTATGGGCTCCAGTAACCACTCAACACTAGGTGGGCAGTGAGCTCGTCCACCCAACTAAGCAATAAAAAAAAACAGTTTTGTATTTCAGCTGTGAACTGTCTATGTAAATTTCAGTGTTGTTTTGCGTTCAGGATAATTGAAAGTAATATTCAAGTAGAACTGACCGGTTGTTCTCGTCAGCCGACTGCTGGGCCTCGAGCAGCTTCTGTTGGGCGGTGCCGGACCTCTCCTCAGATTTCTCGAGGTCTTCCTCAATCTGCTGCACTTTCCTGTTGAGGGCAGCGACCTCGGCTTCGGTGGCGGTCAGCTGCTTCTCCTTCTCTTCAAGGTCCTTGTTGGCCTGCTCCAGTTTGTTCTTGTTCAGGATCAGGTCTTCCTCCACCTGGGCGAGCTTCTTCTGGAGTTCGCGGACTTCCTCGTTTACCTGAATTCATAACGGACTCTTTGAAATAAAATATAATTTTTTTAATTGTGATGAAAAATACTTTTATCTCGCATGGCAAATAAGTCTTTAATTTACAAAATGAACAATACTGCACTGATTTTAACTTATGTTTTAGTTGAATGAAGTAGTGATAGACACCCCACATTTAGACACCTGTTGTATCCATGTTCATCACAAGAAAGATCGGAGCAGAGTTCATCCATATTATCTGGAACCGCTGCGTTCATCGACAGTGCGTTTCCAAAGATATTTTTTGCCACGTACCATCCGGCTTAGGAATGAACTCCCCTCCATCGTGTTTTCAGAGCGCTATGATATGTCCTTCTTCAAACAAGGCTTGCGGAGAGTACTTAATGGTAGAATGGTAGGCAGCGGCTTGGCTCTGCCCCTGGCATTGCTGACGTCCACGAGCGACGGTGACCACTTACCACCAGGTAAGGGCCGTATGCTCGTCTGCCTACAAAGGCAATAAAAAAAAAGATAAGGTACCTACCTTCTCAGCACGGAGGTTGGCGTCTCTAGCCTGCTGTTCGCAGGTGTCGGCCTTGTCCATGGCATTGTCCTTCTCCAGCTTCATCGCCTGCATCTTCTTCTTGATCGCGTCCATGGTGGCGGCTTTTTGTTGTTACGGTCCGGTCGAATTAAATACGCCTGTAACAAAGTCTTCGATTTAACATTAGACAACAGAGATACCGACTACCATTCCTTCTAAAGTAGTAGTGGGCAGTTGACTTGGATATGCCTCCGAAATTGCTGAAGCCTCTAAAGCTGAAGAACAACAGTGACTGATCACCATCTGGTTGGACATAGTATACCTAATTCTTGACGGCAAATATTCAGCTCAGTTCTATTAGTTTGGAAAAATAGCCTTATAGAATTTCGTTAGAGATTTTTTTCCTTTCCCTCGAGATGTACAATATATTTTTTTTATTTAAATCTAATATTTACAGAAACCAAAGGCATTAAACCGAACAATTTGAAATGTTTAAAAATAGATTTCCGTAATGTTTCAGGACTAAATATTCGTTGACATTGGACATTTGAATATTGTGCTAATTATCGTATAATATTCCATAAAATTGAATACCCGAAATAACCGACAAATTAGTTTTAATTATAATATTATATGTATATAACTCAAAAAAATACTCAAGTAAATCAATTGGACCGTGTTTGATAAATGTCGTTGTATTCTCAATTACATTAAATTATTATGATATTCCAGATAAAGATCGCGCAAATTGCTTTTTTCCAATTTTTCCACAGAATTGAGACATAATTAAGTTTGTTTTCGTACGAATTTTCAGAGAACAGAATCTTTGCAAATTAATTTTGGGTCAGTTTCTATATTTGGTACAAATAATTAATTGGTTTTTGTTATTCAGTAGGAATTTATTTCTGTAAAAGTTCGACAATAACTTAATATAATTTCACTGCACCTACCACTATTTACTCTGCACTACCTTTGGTTGACTGATAGAGAATGCCTTAGGCATTAAGTCCGCCAATGTAAAAATTTTACATGAAGTGTAATGAATAAATAAATAAATAAACAATCCTATATCCCATCGAATGGTATGAATGGTATTTATACAGAATGAAAGCTTTTTCATGTTAATAAGCTCCAAGCCAAAAAGTTTGAATGTGTTTATACGCTTCATATGTTACAATGAAGTTTTTAAGAGGCGAAAAGGAATATGAGTTAATGTGAAAAAAAAATTTAACTTTTAAAACACTTTTCAAACATGAAAAAGCTTCCGTTTTATAATAAACAGCTATTTCATTCCCTGTATAAATGTTGAGCTCAATTTTAAACTAGCACTTAGTCTTAGTACTCGATATTTTATTATAATTACCTACCGTCTTTATGAAATAAAAAAAGATGTGTGGTGTCGTGGGACACCGGATAGGAACGAAGTTCCTTATTATAAAAATATTAATTTAAAGGTCTATTCGAGGTATAAAGAAAATAAAATTGGAGGTTTCGCAACAACCCACGGTCATTCGGTAACGTGCGAACTTATTGTGGTACACTTCATTCACGGTTGTTTGCATAAGAGTTAGTGTATTGCGCAAACGAACGCTCTGAGATCGTGGTCAATGAATGATAAAAAAATGTTATTTTTTGTACGTTATTACAAAGTTAAGTCGTACACTGTGTGCATTACTAATTAAAATCTTACGTTACGGACGTTTTTTCCCGGTTAGAGTACCCCTCCGCATCGTCCCATAAGGAACTTCGTTCCAATAATTGTATGATTATCTATTACCTATTATTATGATTATTATTACCTATGGGCTCACTTTTGTTTTATTAGGTTGTAAGTTTGTGCATTCTTTCCATTTAATTTAAGATTATTACACAAATCAACCTTCGTCTAAACAATGTATGAAACAATAGAACTATATTTACTACGAGTACTAATGAGTATGGTATTTTGTTGAGAAGCGAGTCGAAACAAACATAGTATTAACACACTTGGCAATCTGCCAGATGACCACATTAGGAATTGCATAATTATTAATATTCTTTATTAGTCCATGTGGGATGAGAGTTAAGCACGCAGCCATCACAAGGTGTATTGTAATACCTTGAGACGTAAGTGTCTCAAGTATCAATAGCATTAGCTGTCTAACCTGGTGATGATGGTGATAGTGAAATCTACCGTGCCGTGCTAAATATACCGTGTCACCAGTTAATTCTAATTCATTATTGACGAGAGACTTCCACAATGAAGAAACAACACCGTGTAATAAAAGTCACAAAAATTATAATTTGCTTAATTACTGAGGGTGACACGTTTTGTGAGTCCGCGCGGGTGGGTACCACCACGCCCATTTCTGCCGTGAAGCAGTAATACGTTTCGGTTTGAAGGGTTGGGCAGCCGTTGTAACTATAACTATACTTGAAACCTTAGAACTTATATCTCAAGGTGGGTGGCGCATTTAGGTCGTAGATGTCTATGAGCTCCAGTAACCACTTAACACCAGGTGGGCTCTGAGCTCGTCCAACCAACTAAGCAATAAAAAAATAAAATAAAAAAAAACCCTAAATAATAGGTGAGATGGTGGTATCTACCCTTGCGGGCCAAACAAGCCCTACTGGTGATACCGCTCAGAATAACGTACGCTTAATTAATATTGTTTCTCCTTATGTTAAGATAGTACTTGCTACCGTATTTATTAATACAGCTGTAACCAAGTTTATTTGGTCGATACCACTGGCGTTTATTTATTATGATTTCGAAAGAACGATCTTCATTATAAACGAAGAGAAATGTTTGTGATCTTAAAAACTCGCCCAAATAATCGTTTAGTAATAAAAGGTCCCTTCTTGCTATGAATATTGGATGAAAAACAGGAAAGTGTTGTACGGCTTGTGTAAATAAATTGGAATTCGTATTTTGAAATGAATAATTACGGTTTTATTATTTCTCCAAACGGAGCTTTCTATAATTTTTATGAACGATAGAAGTTCTCTAACAAGAACTACTTGTAGAATTATGTACTTGCACATAGTAAAGATTAGGTATAATATGTATTAACAAGTGATACCCGTTTCACTGTGACTATATCACATGTAAGAAAACATCAAATTATTGAAACTGCTCGTGCGCCATTATCAATCGGTGATGTTACTATGACAGAAAACTTCTTAGTCTCAACTATTATCAGTTTCATTGGAATCGGATGAGTGGTATAAGAACGCATAGAGGACAAAGATGCAAACTAAAATTGAGTTTTATTCAAATTCTTCTCCATCGCTCCCTCATTGCTGAGGATCGTGACTCCGTTTTAGCTTGTCGACTGTCAGCCTTCATCGGTTCCGGTCAGTTGCCTGGTGTAGTGCAGCGCTAAGTGGTCCGCTGGTTTGCTCGGAGATCTGGTCGGACCAACGTTTGGGGCTCCGGCCTCTTTTATTCAAATAGATAGAAGATAATAAATAATGCAACTTGTTTTTGATTTTGTTACTAATGTTTGTTCCTAATCATTTTAAGCCTACTGAGTTTCTCGCCGGGTCTTCTCAGTGGGTCGCGCTTCAGATCCGGTGGTAGATTTTGCAAAGCGTTGCTCACCTACAAGCTCGGCGAATCTAGAATAACCCTTCGAGGGTACTAAAATAGGTAGAAAAAATAATAATTTTATTTTGTTACTAATCATCAGCCCACAGACAACCTCTGCTGAACAAAGGTCTCTCCAAGTTTCGTCACAATGACCAGTCGTAGGCAGCCGGCGTCGATTGGATTCCCGCGACCTTTAGCAGTTTGTTGGTCATTTTGTCATAATTGTTGCTATTTTCATTTGATCGCTTCGTTGGTCAATGACTCCACTCAACCACGGGGTGTGGTTTGATTCTCAACCAGAGAGAATCTTTGAACATATGTCATATTCGTTTCTGGAAATGTTTTGGGGCTGTTGAGTATTTATTGAATATTGTTTTAATATTTTAAATGTATTTCTTTTATATTGTCCTGTTTTAAAAAAAACTAAAAGTAGATAACATTATCTTTAAACTTTCGTTTTGATGATGCTATTTTTTTCGTTTTAGCGTCGCTTTTACGCGAACTTAACTTCAGCACTGATATGTTTTAACGGTGCCATAAAACGGATGTAAAATTGAAACCAGACAGTGAAGCGAAAATAACGTAGTCGCTGTGACGACTTGTATCTGGAACGTTGACAAGTTTCCGATTAGCTTAGCGAAAAATAAATTCATGCAGATTGTTACAACTCTAGGTAACCTAATTTTGGTTAATTGCCGCGGAACGTTATATAAAATCGATTATTATAATCATAATATAGATATTATAATCGAACATAATGCTCGTGTAGTATTTAAAAATAGTTATTTTAGCCAAGCTAATCTGTGAACCAATGAAGTTGAGTTGTACTCGATTTTCAAAGGCTCTCTGTGGTTATTCGATGTTGTAAATTGTCTTTTCATGCCTAACAAGACATTCGGCTCGATAAGCCGATAAGCTTCAGGCTATTTTGCGTAATTACCATTTTTGATTTCGCAAGTATACGCAGCACCATATTCAATTTCGCCACGAAGAATCAATCCGCTTTTTATAATCTCATGTCTGTATACAACGGTATTTCCGTATACATGTCCTATTGGTTGGTTCAAGAGATATTGTTATTGTCAAATTTGACATTAAAACCTTGATAAAGGATCTTAAATGAGACTAGCATTATATTTCCGGCTATCAATTAGATAATTTACTGGTGGTAGGACCTCTTGTGATTCGGCACGGGTAGGTACCACCACCCTGCCTATTTCTGCCGTGAAGTAGTAATGCGTTTCAGTTTGAAGGGTGGGGCTGCCGTTATAACTATACTGAGACCTTAGAATTTATGTCTTAAGGTGGGTGGCGTAGATGTCTATGGGCTCCAGTAACCACTTAACACCAGGTGGGCTGTGAGCTTGTCCACCCATCTAAGCAATAAATAAAAAATTAATAATAATACAGCTATGTGACCTTGAATCAGTCGTCATCCGTTCAGGATGTAGTACACTCGGTCTATTTCTTAATTAACCTACTATTCTGAACTATCAATCTCAAATCAAGTATCAGATTCGTTGTTACAAAATAAACTTAATAAATTAAAACGCGAGCTTTAAGATAAATAGAACGCATTTTACATATCATATTGTAAACCGTTTTATAGTTGACAAGGTTATTTTGTGTTCGTAAATTGTACTTAATAAGTATTCATAGCCGCCCAGGCAGGAGGCAGACTTAAACTTAGACTTAAAAAAATGTATAATATTTAATTTTCATCAATAAAAACTATTTTAATAATCGTTTTCGTAGTTATTCTGCGTAAACTTGACCTTGAAATTTACAAAGAAAAATCTCAATCGAAAAAAAACAATGTTTTCTTAATTATAGATAATTTTAAAAACGTAAGTCTATTTTCTATAAAAGTTTATCATCAAAATTTTATCAATTTTTTATGTTGAATGATTTTAACTTTAATTTTTTTCCTTCTTTTGTCTTTATTTCAGTAAAAACCATACATTTTGTAAGTGTTACTTATAATCTTTTACTTAAAATCTATATTATTAACTTAAAAACATAGCACAACAGTATTTGACTATTTATTACTATTTTTTTTAATCTTTCCCATTTGTTAAATTATTTTTTAAGGGTCTGACCATTTCAACCCGTTTCAAATTGAAGTTCTGAATTCGAACGGTGTTTTTTTTCTTAATTTCACCTAACTGATCAAATATCTATTTGTTGCAAACATTGACAAAAAAAACCCGTATCTCTAATTAAATGTCAGTTAATCTGTTCTGTTCATCATTCATGATCATAATCGATTTTATTTGCTTTTAAAATAGCCGTTGTTTATATTCATTGTCGAATCGGTGCGCTAATATCGATGACCTTGTTCCTATTTATGGGTACCTGTTATTTGAGATTCACCATGCCTGTGAAATTGCGGACTATTTAAATTTGTGTACAAGCTCGTACGATTGCTGTGTTGATTCATTTTACTCAGTGTAACCCGTAGTCAGTTCTGTCTTTTTTTTTTTATTTGCTTCGCTTTGTCAGTGTAAAACTGTAAAATATATTCAAAGTGACCTCCTACATTTCATAACGACCATATCGAAGGGAAAATTATTGACTGACGCTTAAGATATTTTAAAATTTTGAAACAAATCAAAATATATCTTTGTTTCTTAACGGTTCAATAAATTATTACAAAACGTATTGGTAATCCCGCCGGTCACCCTGACATGTTTTTTTAAATGTTTAAAGTATCATGGCTCCTGCAAGCAAATTATTTTGTAAGGTTCGAAAATAAGAACGCCCCACACGGCGCCCCAATTCATAAATGGAGCATATTGAGCGCTAAAATAAAATTTGAAACGAGTTCCCTCATCTCGCTAAATAAATACTGATAGTCGTGCGCGCCGCAAATAGTCTAGAGGCAGCGCGAAGAACGCTCGCAGCCGCGTGGGCGGCCGCACACACTATTTTCAGCGAGGACGCGATGCCGATGAAACCCGAGTCATATCCCTGGAAATCGCGCACCGAACCATTTCTAGTCACGAAGGCTTCCTTCCGAGGCACTTCCATCCGAAACTACACGCTTTGTCTCAAATTCTGTATATCCGCGAGATTGAAGTTCGCGGACATTGCACAAAACTACAACACCAAATAAGCTCTAAGGGGATTCCAAGAGATTGGATACTCCACTCTGCACGTCACTGTCACAGTATCCGGTGCTAGCCGGTGGAATCCTTCAGGAGCGGAGTATCCTGGTGGAGTATCCAAGCTCGAGGGTCCATGGTGCGCACGCGCAGCACTCACCTCACGAACGGGCTGTTCACACGGNTTCGCGGACATTGCACAAAACTACAACACCAAATAAGCTCTAAGGGGATTCCAAGAGATTGGATACTCCACTCTGCACGTCACTGTCACAGTATCCGGTGCTAGCCGGTGGAATCCTTCAGGAGCGGAGTATCCTGGTGGAGTATCCAAGCTCGAGGGTCCATGGTGCGCACGCGCAGCACTCACCTCACGAACGGGCTGTTCACACGGCGGAGCGACACGCACTGCGCCGCGCCCGCCCTCGCGGCCGTAGCGCGCGCCCGCCCGACTATTTTCGGTGCCAAAAATCCAGGATTCCGATATGCCGTCACGATCGTAATGAACGCCGGGATCACAGGCCGTCACAGTCTCGCACATCATCTTACAAGTCGCGATTCTGTTTGACCAAAAGCGATGGACGCGACCGACTTGTGACGGCTCGGTGTCGATAGATCGATGCTATCAAGACACGTGGCTGATGATACGGATGGGTTTGTGCCATCATTTGTCTAAGCTATTAAAGAATTTGCAGATTTCTCAAATTCCTTCAAGAGCCCACCCGCTGATCGCTTGGCTATATTTAGCGTAAGCGCCATTGACGTTTAATTTTACCGCACTAACATAGTTTTCATGATATTTGTACAAAATTGTTAAATCAAATCGTTAGAGTTTTGCACGTTACCTATATTTTTTTCCGATCAAACATAAAGGATAACTTTTTTTAAACATTTGTTGTCCTCAAAATGCACGTAAATAAATATGTACTAAAAAGTATTGTAGGTACAAAATTTAATACAGAAAAATCTTCAATGCACATTTAGGTAAACTACCAATGGTATTTTTTTTCAATTTTATTTATTAATTTTTAGTTTCTTCGAATGGCAGACACGTCTACAGCTTGCTAAACAACATATTTCGTTGTCGTCCATGATCAAGGAACTAGGAAAATATTAGAAACTTCGGAAATGAAAATAAGAAACGTGAGAAACGGTAGTTGTTAGTATCATAGAAATGTATTTAACAGCTCTGTAACATCTTTAGTACGTCACGTTTCCATTATCACCTACCTAGTATAAATAAAGTATAGTTTCATTAGTCGCTAATAACTATGCTATATTATAATAGCTGTGTATTAAATTCTACATTATTATTAATAGCTATGATACATTACATGTTACTACATCTAAGTTTCTTAAATTCAGTAGGTACGTACCTTTATAACACATGTATGAGAGGCCACGGTATGTAAAGTGTCTTGTATACTTTTCTGTATTTATTCATTTTTATTCCTTTGACGGTCGAACCACCTGGTTTTAACATGAATGCTGTTAGCCACCTTCAGACGTAAGGTTGAGGTTTCGATTATATTGTGAGACGGCTGTCCCTCTCTTCGAACCGGACCGCACCCATGAACCTTAACTACACAATGCACATCATTAACACGTAGTCACGAACTTTTGGGCATCGATTATTTTATTTTGTAGTTAAATGCTGTCGAAGGATAACCAAAGTCGCGTTAACACATTAGTAAACAGTTTGTAGACATCACACTGTCATTGACGGCTAACTTGAACACCCTGAACTCGCAAAAGCTTTCTTGTCACAGAGGTCGTAAGCTTTATCTACGTTGTCGGTGAAGATAAATAATTTAATGTTATTTTAGGACGGAAGGATTACTGGTAGCCAAAATGCCTTTCCGGTTTCACCAGGACATATGGGCGAGCAAAGGCTCAGCCAGGAGAGGTCGGATCTACTACCCACCGAGATTTATCCCCTGAGAAGATTCGAGGAGAAACTTAGCAGCTTAATGTTAAGGGTTAGGTTTCACGTAGTACTCTTTTGACGAGTTCGAAAAGTATGCTTATCAGGGTCCTTGTGCCTTTTTTTTTTTGGTCAGGTGAAAATCGCCGGACTTCCGCCCTTCTCTGGGGATGGCGGACGGGGTATGTCAGAGTCGAACTGACTAAAACCTCCTGTCGCTCAACAACCAACGTCCAAACCTTGCATGAGACAGAACTCATAAAAAGGCAAAGGGGGGAAAGTGAAGCGTTTAGTGCGGAGCACAGCTCTCCCATCACCCTCCCCCTCGGGACGCCGGACTGGTGGTCGTCGGCGCCACGACCACCAGCCCTCTCGGTCGGCAGACTGTCCGAAGCCCGCCAGATGGAGGGTCCTTGTGCCTAGTGCTAGGCGTCTAATATTTGTGTTAATGGATCGGGAGGATCCGCAAGGACGTGTTGGGGCCGTCTACTATGTCTGATTCCTGTGTGAGCCGATGTCGGAGAGTAATCGGCGACGGTCACGATGAGGCGATTTTCATGACGCATTTTAAGTGGTGATGACGCGCTGGCGCTTTGACGTTGCCTTTCAAATTATGTCAATTTAAAATGCAAAAAATCACATATTCATCGATAACTTAGTGCTTTTTAAAAGTTAACTCAAATTTGTATGCAGTTGGAACAGCACCCCTAGCGGCAAAGGTTCCATCTCCATACAAATTTGAGTTAACTTTTACGCTATCGAGAACGTTAAAAAACTCGCACTAAGCACACTGATCGTTAGTTCTCACACAGTAGCACGTTATCTAACATTATAATCCAATAATCCACCTGAGGCCTATTAATGTAAGTTGTTGCAACAGAATGTCATAGAATTACCCAAATGGTCTGACCTATTTTCAGCGTCTCGTAAAACAAAAATGAACAGTATAATTTGATAATATGATAATTTGATTATTTCTAATTTTCATGTAGCGTAGGCAAATCTAAAGCATATCGTGGTTTGATCTCACGGTTTTATTACGTTTGGTGTTTATATGTTTACCTAATGTCTGGCGGTGAGGTGTATTATGAGCACGCACCGGTGGGTACCGCCATCCATCCATTTACGGCCGTCAAGCTAAAAGAGGTTCCAGTTTGAAAAATGAGGCAGCAGTTATGTATTGCAATTGAGATATGAGAGTCCATTTCTGAAAGCTGTAACTATTAATAACAATGGCTATTGGGAAGAAAAAAAAATCGTGAAAGTTAAATATTTTCGTCAGATTATCCAGAAAGAATAAGTACTGTAAAAACTGAGATCTTAGAACTCATGTTTCAAGATGGGTGGCGGCATTTACGTTATACATGTCTATAACGTTAACCACTTAACACCAGGTGGGCCGTGAGCTCGTCCACCCATCTACGCATTAAAAAACAAATATAAAACCAAAATCGATTCAACTAAATGTTATATCCACAATCAGAATTCGTCCGACATCCACGGTTGTTATTTACCTGAGGTGTTTAAATGAAACAAACATTTTTTTATAGAAATTTATTATTCAAAGACAGTGAATGTCTAAAGCATAAAATGCACTGTCAGAAAGAGCTGAGCGACTGAAACAACACGGCTATTCACAGAATCTCCACAATGGAGAGCATTATTAATAGATGCCAAATCCCTGGAAACATATTTATATAGTATACAAAAACTATTTCTAATTGAATATTTTTTTTGTATACCCAGCAAAAAAAAATTATGATATTGTACGACGCTTAAATAATATATGAGTGTACTTATGTTAATGTAAGTTCATTATAACATATCGGATAAAAAAGGAACATCAAAATGTTCTTCTGGGCAGTTAAATTATGTTTATAGTTTCGTGTGTTGATCACTCGTGTGTTTTTTCTAGCAAATACGGCGTCCTAAAATTGTGGCTAATTTTATTTGAATCCTCAAAACCGAGTCACTTATAGGCATGTCCTTTATTACTAATGCTTTTGAACACCTTTGAACTTGGCTTTCTGTGTGGGCTCAAGGATGATACCATGGTGTCGTTCATTACTCCAGAATTTACTAAGACTTCAAATGCATTAGAAGTTCGCGTACTGAGTATACAAAAATACTAATCATAATTTAGTTAACTCAATATTCATTTACGATACAAAATGTACTTAAATTAATTTTACAAAAACGTGGCAGTCTCATGGCAATATGTCACGGATAGGTTTATAAGTAGGTAGTAGGTATTTTACGATATTTTTTTTGGGTTGTATATTCTCAGTCTAAATTTTGCAAAGAAATCAATTGCTTTTCCTCCCTCAGTATTTTCAACATCTAGCATTTATAATTTCACTTATCTATAAAACGCAGGGAATGTTCATAAGTACAAATTTAATTGCAAATCTTTAGAAAGTACTATTTTTAAAAATTCAGTCAATCCTAAAAATACAACTTATCAATTGTTTGAATTTATTTCAATGGTACACATTTGAAATTAGAAATATTTATAAAAAAATCTATCTTACCAAAAACTATTTCTATCGACAAATATATTGGAATGCCTATTTTTAATAATAAAGACATTTTAAACTTATAAAGTTTTCATATTATATATCGTTGCTGCTTCGAAATAAATCAAATTGCCTATCGATGTATATAGTTAAGGCAGTTTAAAGCGAATCAAGTGTTCAATGCAATGTTTAAAAAAAAATGAATGTCCATCGCATCAAGATGACACCCCTTTGTTCACTCCACACATAGAATAAGACTATAACTATAATCTATAAACCGTTCATTCTATCCTACTCATACTTTGCAATCCTGCAATGAGCTAGAGCCAGACAGAACCGTTTGTAATTTATTAACATTATTTATTTAATCTATGATCTATTTTTCATTGTCCTAACATTTCTTACGGTTTGTTCTAGTAATTTAATAAGAAAAATAAATAATAGTTTAAAAAAACTAAAAAATACGCTTTTATAGAAAATCCAACTAAAAAATAGAATGCATGGTATCAGTAGTTATAAATATTAATTTTTATGAACAGATATGAGTACGGGTTATTTTGATAATTGGTTCCTGAAAAACACCTCACGCTTTTTTTTACAATAAAATAATTTTTTCTTACCCTATTTTTAATTCTAATTTATTAAAATCTATATTCTATTTTTTAGTTGGGTTTTCTGTAAAAGCATATTTTGTTAGATTTTTTAAACTATTATTTATTTTTCATTTTTTACTTGAATTTCAATTTTTCATTTTTTATTTAAATATTCAATTGTCATCGGTCCTTAATAAGTATACCAAATTTCAAATTAATCCGACGTTCTGAAGGGGGTCAAACAAAATCATGATCAAAGATTCCGTTACAAACATACATACGTCTGAAGCTAATAAAAGCGTATTAATAACGAAGAACTCTGGAACGATTTATGGATTTTAGTGTTTGTCGTTTGTCTGTGTTGTAAACTATTTAATAACCGGACCAATCTGCGAAGGTCTGGTCGACTTCCTCGGCAATTGCTTTATATTTGCTCCGCTCCTCGACCACCTCAT